ACTGAATGAAATCAGGGTAAATTTTCCATCGTGAACACAAAACCGTCTGAGGACAAATTGGGGTATAATAACATCCTGAAGAATATTGTGGGTGGGGACTACGGCTGTTGTGTTTGCCAGGTCTGCCAGTCATGTATGACTAAAGCCAAAATTGATTGGTTGTTGATATGGACAAATTTTTCAAATATACGTTTGATACCGGTAGTTAAAGTATTTTATGAATTTTATGGGTGGGGACCAGGACTGTTAATATGCCTGTAATTATTTGCCAGTCATGTCTGACTAAAGATCTAAATTGACTCAAGGTAATAACTGTGATTTTATAGTTGGTATTTATTTGCCATATTTATTCACAAAAATTAACAACAAATCTTGTATTTTACAAAGCTATGAAAACATAAATGGTTATCCCTACTTTAGATGAAGGTATATCACAATATGTATCAAATAGAGGCAATAATAACAATACCTAGCACTAATAAACATTGAACTATAACCTGATTTTATATCTGTCCACTAGATGACCGATGATGGTGAGTTTTAGATGTCCATCTTTATGGTTAATATTATGATATTTCAAGATATTTTATAGCTGGGTCGTTAACCCTGGATGATAGATTCACAGCAGGTCTCTAGGCTAACAACTTTAACTCTTTATTCATGTATATTCTTACTAGATTATCAGAGATAGAGGGTTAGATTATCTACTGTTTAATACTTTACAGAACAACTACAAACACTAAAGTCCTGTGCCTGTGCTTTTGTATTTTTGTCACTAGTACAATGTTACAACTTTTACTCCCTGAATTTATAATAACACCAACTCTAAATCTATATTCATGTATAATAGTAGTTATCAGATTAAAGCAGCTAGAGGGCGACTTAAATGACTTGTCGAGTCGCTAGAGTTGAGCCCCCCTTAAAAAATTTGGCCCCCCTTGAGACCCTGGGTTAGCTACTGGCCTGGAATCGAGATAGAGTGTTTATATTTGGTGAACAGGGTCGAGACAGACTTTGTGGTTGGGAGGTTAGGGGTGTGTTGTTTGACAATGTTTGCCAGTCATGTCTTAATAGGGCCGAAATTGACCAGCCAAATTGCTGACCCCAGGTTATCTTCCAATAGACTGTTTGCATCTGTAATTTTGTCTTGTTATCTCATAGTACCTTTTCAACTTTAATCATTATTTGTTTGACAAGAAGTCAAAAATCTCAAATTTCAGTTTTCCTTTTAAACAACCATATTCATGATCCACTCTACTAAATTTTAAATCAGTGAAGCAAAAAATTAATTTGAAGATATTTTGTATCCAGTGGTGTATGAATTACTTGTTACTAATTTAGTTTACTGAACCGAACCTACTGTATTAATAGTTGATAAATAATCTTATATAATTTTAATTGTCCAAAATAAATACAGAGATAAAAACATACCATGTTAATTAGTTATTAATAAATAAATATAATTATTATAAATCACAAGACCATGTTTTTTTTACAAAAATATTTTACACAATAGTTAAAACTGTTTGTAAACAGATTACTAAAATAATTTGACCAAGCATTCTCAATCGAAAGCCAAAACAAATCTAAATTGCAAAATAGCATTAATTTTTAATGTAATTTCAGAAGAGAAGAGCCCTGCAGCACTACGTAATGCTTTGAAAGAACGGAATACAGAAAGAGGGGATTTCTTACTCAAAATAAAGGTAAAGAAAAAGGCCAAAAAAATCAGATGACGAACTAAATATGTGATTTTTAAAACAAAGTATTTTGTGATGAGTTTTTAGTTTATTTCTGGAATATATTGCTGTTCTTAACGCAAAATATTTATTCTTGTTTTCTTTTATCTGTGTATATATTTTAAGACTAAATTATAAAGTATTTGAAATTCTATATTTATTGTAAAGCGTGTCAAGGCAATCAGGTGATAGATGGGTTAATACCAACTCTCTTGAGCTATTCTTTGAACGAAAGTAGCGATATAATACCTCGAGCAATAATATATCATCTTTTATAAGTCTGTCTTGTTTTTTAATTCCAGGGTCTATCAGAGAAGAATAAACAATATAAAACAAAACTTCAGAAAGATGACTTGTCATCCAAACAACATCGTAAAATTTTACAGAAATCCTACGAAACCCAGACCGGAGAAGAAAATACTTTAATAAGTAACTTACAGGAGATCATAGTCGAACATGAGATGAAGATTCTCTCTCTGGAACAACAGATACATGGTTAGTTACAATTATATTCTTTTAAAGACAGTAAACGTTAATTTCTCTTAAAAAACATTTTATAGGACAAAATATATTCAGGCTTTTAACAAGAGTCATAAAAACAAGACATATCAAGGTATACAAAGCAAGGAATGATAATAAGTATAAAAAACGTCAATCAGGTAGTTTATCAGTCACTATAGCACATGGCCTCAAAACTTTTTTGGGGGTGGAGACAGGCTTTTAACAAGAGTCATAAAAACAAGGCATATCAAGGTATACAAAGCAAGGAATGATAATAAGTATAAAAAACGTCAATCAGGTAGTTTATCAGTCACTATAGCTCATGGCCTCAAAACTTTTTTGGGGGTGGAGACAGGCTTTTAACAAGAGTCATAAAAACAAGGCATATCAAGGTATACAAAGCAAGGAATGATAATAAGTATAAAAAACGTCAATCAGGTAGTTTATCAGTCACTATAGCTCATGGCCTCAAAACTTTTTTGGGGGTGGAGACAGGCTTTTAACAAGAGTCATAAAAACAAGGCATATCAAGGTATACAAAGCAAGGAATGATAATAAGTATAAAAAACGTCAATCAGGTAGTTTATCAGTCACTATAGCTCATGGCCTCAAAACTTTTTTGGGGGTGGAGACAGGCTTTTAACAAGAGTCATAAAAACAAGGCATATCAAGGTATACAAAGCAAGGAATGATAATAAGTATAAAAAACGTCAATCAGGTAGTTTATCAGTCACTATAGCACATGGCCTCAAAACTTTTTTGGGGGTGGAGACAGGCTTTTAACAAGAGTCATAAAAACAAGGCATATCAAGGTATACAAAGCAAGGAATGATAATAAGTATAAAAAACGTCAATCAGGTAGTTTATCAGTCACTATAGCACATGGCCTCAAAACTTTTTTGGGGGTGGAGACAGGCTTTTAACAAGAGTCATAAAAACAAGACATATCAAGGTATACAAAGCAAGGAATGATAATAAGTATAAAAAACGTCAATCAGGTAGTTTATCAGTCACTATAGCACATGGCCTCAAAACTTTTTTGGGGGTGGAGACAGGCTTTTAACAAGAGTCATAAAAACAAGACATATCAAGGTATACAAAGCAAGGAATGATAATAAGTATAAAAAACGTCAATCAGGTAGTTTATCAGTCACTATAGCACATGGCCTCAAAACTTTTTTGGGGGTGGAGACAGGCTTTTAACAAGAGTCATAAAAACAAGACATATCAAGGTATACAAAGCAAGGAATGATAATAAGTATAAAAAACGTCAATCAGGTAGTTTATCAGTCACTATAGCACATGGCCTCAAAACTTTTTTGGGGGTGGAGATTTTCAGCCGAATAGAAATTCTTTTTTAGTCAAACACACCCCAAAAATAACAGTGGCCAAAATTTTGACAAATTATGTATAAAAACACTTTAATTGATTTGACTTTAAGTAGTTGATGAATTTTATTAATGATAGAGGAACTGTATCCTTTTTTATTTACCAAATCTATAACAATATATTTACCATAATAAACTTAAAATCTCATTCCAGGCAATATCACAGCAAGAGAAGATTCAAACACAACAGCGCCAACTTCAACAGCGAAACTTATTGAACAAATACGCCAACTTCAAGACGGTAAATCACAAGTCTTGAACGAACTCAACTCATTACATCAACAGATTGAAACAGATCATCTTGATACCATTAAATCTTTACAGAACAACATGGTTAAAATAGAAACAGAGAAATCTCAACTAGAGGAGGATATTGTTAGATTAAAAACAGACCCTGTAAGTGTTGAGTTAAATTCTCTGTTTCCAATATTTAGGGGTCCCGGGAAACTCATGAACATATCAGGGGTATATAGATTTGAAAACATTTTAAGAGATATAGATTAATCATGTAACAGTACTAAATTCTAGCTACCTTTATCAATTTCTAGAATGATAATTTGACTCCAGCTTCATCTGCAATTAAATGAAAATAGATTAAAATTTTGGCTATTATAATTGCTTGGAAATAAGATAACAATAGTCAAATATTGTCAAGCCTTGAACTACCTCACTGTCAGTAAAACAATATGATTTATTAACTGTTGTGGGCATCTCTTATCTTCTCTTTTTTGCATAGTGGAAGAATAAAACAACCTTTGCATCACATATTAAAATCAGAAACTTCTCAATAATATTCATGAATCTATATTTTCAGTCATGTGATTTAACGAACCCTTCCACGGACACCGAGAAACATTTGCGTAAAATGACGGAAGATAATGTAAGATTAAAACAGGAAGTACATAGATATAAAGTTCGGCAGTCGTCCATTGGTTTCTGCTCTGAAAACGAACAAATTAGGGTAAGCGAATTAACCAAGCATTTCTCCAATGACATCCCTTAGTATAAAAAAGCAATAAAACCAAGCATTGGATTTATATATATTAATATATATCTTTGTTCAGTGACTTCGCTTATTTTGCTTATGTACCTTTGAAAGTTAACCTCCTTTTAAGAAACAAGCTTTCCTGATGAGGATTGTATGTCAAAAACATGTGTCAGTTGCATGAGCTCTAGGCAATTAGTAACAGAAGCCAGCTAATCAGTTGGCGGCATTTTCAATACAGATTCCTTCTTCAAGGGACATCTGCCCTAAACTTTATGTTCAAGACCGTTTAATTGGTTTTATACTCTTTAATATCAACATCTCCCTTTCATTCAATTTTCCATTTTTCAACAGAATTTACAAGAAGACAACGAGAGGTTGGAAGAAATGTTGTCAAAAGCAGAGAAAAAATTGGTGAAAACTGAATCTACCCTAGAGGAAACAGAATCGAAATATCGAGATGAAGTGTGTAAATTATCGAAGGAAAACCAGAAGATTTCACGTCTGTTGAGGGATACGAAGGCAGACGTGACTTGTTTACAGGCCAGAGAACCAGAAGTAAGTGTTTGTATATCAAACATTAGATAAGAGTGTCACATTATAAGAGTGTTTTTATTAAGAAGCTGAGGTGAAATTGCTTCTTGTCGATATCATGGTATTGTTCTGTATATCATGATAATTCATTCCCCTTAACCCATCAGAATTGAGGCAGGGCCCTCTTTTACTTTAACCTTTCTTATCATTGTACATAGGAAAATAATTTGCCCCCCCCCCACCCCCCTGTGGCCCCTACTCAGCCCCCTCAACTGATAATTAAATATCAATATTGATATTGATCACCACGTCATGCCTATAGCTAATTTCATCTGATAAATTTTAATTCAGGTTATGACCAAGATTGAGAGAGTCGAGGTGGAAGTTGAATCAGAAGATTTACGCCAGGTTTTAACGGAAAGTCAGAAAGAGAACGCTCTACTGGAAACAGACGTCAATGATTGGAGGCAGAAGTACACTGAGCTGACCAATCAGATGAAAGCATTGCAAGAACAAAATATCAATTATAATAAACAGGTATTGTTGAATTTTCATCATTTAGATGTGATGAATTTCCCTCATTGTACACTGCATGGCCAATCATCACCGGATGAAAGCAAAGGGTAAAGCAAACAGGACAGGTAGAGAAATGAAATTTTCCTCACTGCTCACTGTATGGCCATCCTCACAAAAAGGTCTTAAGACATAGTATCCATTTCAATAGAATTAGCCAATAGAATCCATTTAACAGGGTTATTTGCATGAGTTGTACATAGAACTAAGATTTTTACCGTGTCAAGATCTAGGACATGCTTATCAGACAAATTAATTCAATCTTGATCAAACTTGAACCCATGACGGATCACAGCAGTCCATCAAATGTACCCCTGAGTCCCTCTGCTCAGGGGAAACTGGTTTTAAAAAACTAAAAGTAGATATGTTAAGTGTTGAACCCTTTGCCATTAAGAAAGTATATATAGATTATAGAAAACTTCTCTGATCATTTCAGCTTCAACAGAACATAGAAGAAGTCATAGAAATTGAAGCGAAACACGACAAAGAGATGGAGAGAATAAATGAAGAAATGAATGGCCAGGTTGAAAAAGTGAAGAATGAATTAAAGGATGAATTAGACAATTTGAGATCCACTAATTCTTCTCTTCGATCTAAAATCTTAAATGTGAACACAAGTTTTGAGGAGTTATGTGAATCACACGAGGCGTTGAAAAAACAAGCATCTCATTTCCCACGGATAATTTCTGTCACAATAGATTGTGTTAAAACTGAGGTTAGTTTGAAAATTATCAGACGTGTGGACTCTAAAAGGAATGCTTAGTTGACAAACCTAAATATAAATATGTGGACTCTCTGAAAGAAGTGTTGAATTCATTTACCCAATGAGCATAGTGTCTGAAAGGAGTATCAAATATGTAAACCTTAATAAAGTTTAGCCTTTTTTTCGAGGGCTCTGATTGACTGTATTCGCTGGCTTACAATCCAATCAATTCATTGCATTGTCTGATGCTAGAAAAATGCCCAATGAAGTCAAGGTATTAGATGGAGTTTGCAGCCAATCTTTTAGTCCCTTAACTTTATGAAAGCCAGACTTTTATCTTATTCCTATAAATATAATTACAGGCTGTACGAGCTATCGAAGATATCAACCAGAAAAATCAGGAGTTAGTCTGTAAATATCATAAAGAGATGAAACTCAGAAAAAAATATCACAATGAACTGGTGGAATTACGAGGTAGGTGGCTCTTTGAATTAAACGTTGGTATCAATAGCATTATTAGGGTGTAAACACAATTGATCATGTGAATATTCATCTGGAGCCCGATCTGAAGTAGAAATACAAGAGGTTTCATCTCATTTCAGATATAAGTTTTGAAATTTTTTAAATCAGATATCTGATGGTGAGAAATTATAAATTTTAATTTAATTTCAGGAAATATTCGAGTATTTTGTCGTGTGAGACCCTGTATTAAAGAAGACGGGTTCACCAATCCTTCTCAGATAATCGTGACCTACGACCCCTTCGATGACGGTCTTCTCTTCATCGCCAATAAAACACGGAGCCAGGTTTTCGAGCTAGACAAAGTTTTCGATGAGAAAGTTTCTCAAATTGAGGTCAGAGCTCCTGTTTTTTCTCTATTTCTGCATTTTTTGGAATTGTCCTGCTGAAGATTTGGAAACTTGGGATAAAACTCTCATAAGTTCTTTTTTTAAAATAAGGCGCGGAGAACTCTGAAATTTGTTGTTAATATGCAAATTACAAAAGTTTTTTTCCAGAACAGGATGATTTTTGAATTTTTTTTTCTAGGAAAATTTTTTCAATTTTTGAATTAATTTTTCAGGTATTTGAAGAAGTTCGTTCCCTAGTGACGTCCTGTGTAGATGGGTACAATGTTTGTATTTTTGCGTACGGTCAGACAGGGTCTGGTAAAACTTACACCATGGAGGTAAGTTCATTTCTTGTTGATTCTGAAACTTTTTGCTGATTTTTAAATTGTTTATAAAACTAGAGTGAACGAGGCTGGTTTAAGAAAAGTAACTGTAAATAGGACTTTGATTTGAATTGGGTCCATCATAATAACCTTGGCTTCACCTTTGAGCACTTATGGACTTCCTTTTCTCTTACTGACTTTCTTAACTTGGAAAAACAACACAAATTGACATTATTCTATTTAAAAAGACACGTGCAATATATTTGCTACACTAAGTTTATGATTTTTGCTATAAAATGTTTAATTTTAATATTTTTGATGATTTTTGTAAATAATATTTCCAGGGTCCTCAAAACGATCCAGGTATAAACCAAAGAGCTCTACAAGAATTATTTTCTGAAACACAGGAGCGAGGAATTGACTGGGAATATTCTATCTCTGTCAGTGTTCTAGAGATTTATAATGAAAATATCAGGTATGGTCAACAGTTATTGCCCTTGATTTGAATAGTTATACTGAAATCACTTCTTTGACTTAATAAGTCGAATTTCGATAAAGGCTTTAATATTTCAACTAAGATTTCAAATCACGTTTAAACCTTTAGAAATGGCTCTAAATGTGATTTAAAGGCTTTGTTAAAATATTATACCCATTTTAAAAATTTGACTTACTAAGTCGAGGTAGTGATTTAAAATAAAATGGTTGTATACTTTGTGTGTTATTTTCACATAAGAACCATACGTAGACCAAAAAAAGCACTCCCTAAATATGCCAATGGAGAAATTTAAAATGTCTGCAATTTTGAATTCTGTTTGAAATGTAATTCTTTTCACCCTTGTATAGCATCTAATTGATTTGATATATGATTGTTTTGATTTTCCAGGGATTTATTGAATGACGAAGGCTTGAAACTGGAAATTAAGATGAAGGCTGACGGAGGGGGATTACACGTACCTGGTTTAAAAACAGTTGAAGTTACCTCCCTTAATCACGTCAATCAGGTACGTTTGGGTCTTTTATTGCCACCCTTTAGTATTGGAGCTAATGATAGGGTCTTACTGTTATAAACTTTGGGTGGTTCTTTCTTTTGGGGCTCAAATATTGTTTTATGAGTCAAAAGCAGCGACATTTTTCTTAAGAATATTATGACAAAATTTGAGAAATCTTCTTTCAGGTTTGTTAGTTGAGCAAATCCTATAAAAAATTATCATAGATTGACAAACATTTTTGTCTGGTAATGGGTTGTGGAATTCAGTATAGATAATTGACCTTCTATTCTTGATTTCAGGTGTTTTTAACAGGCCAGAAAAACCGTGCTACTGCTACGACGAACCTCAATGAACATTCCTCACGATCCCATTTAATATTAAATATTGAGGTGACTGGATATAACAAGACCACCAATACTAGAACAAGAGGTAACTTTATAAACAGTAGACTAGGACATACCAGTGGAGCCAGTCGGTCATTTGCTCTTAAATTCAGAAGTCTGTAGTTTGATCTCTAGATAGGACATCATATTCTTACATTTTGTATAATTCCACACTTGACAAATTCTCATCCTGTCCTCTGCCAAACTGAACATAAATAATACACCTTACCTACCCACTTGCCAAAGAAGTGGGACAAAACATTTGTTTTGAATTTTGAAGGGCACTATTTGTCCAACCTATTTTCAATGTCTGACAGTTCAGTGCTAAAAACGGACATTTGAGCTGGTCTGTCAGTGATGTCTTGACAATATCAGCCAAATCAACAACCCTGTTATTTTCTGTGATATGTTTCAGGTAAATTGAATCTGGTAGATTTAGCAGGGTCTGAGAGAGTGAGTCGTTCAGGGGCAGACGGTGCCAGGTTAAAAGAGGCCCAGAATATTAATAAATCTCTTTCATGCCTTGGTGACGTCATTCATTCATTACGCAGCAAACAGAATCATATACCATATCGTAACTCTAAACTAACTTACTTGTTACAAGACTCACTAGGTAAGCATGCCCTGCCCACATTGATAAAAATATTTACTAATTGAATGGAGCTCATATAACGTAAGTATAAGAAGAGAAAGAGCACATTGAAGTTCCCGCGACTGTTAGAAATTGACAAAAGAGAAGACTGTCAAAATTTCCCTTATTCCACATTGAATGGCGCTGCCTGTCTTGGTGTAAAACACTCATTTCATTTTCCTATCAGTTCTATTTCTATCTTTCAGGAGGAGAAAGTAAAACTCTGATGATTGTTCAAGTTTCTCCTGTCGACAAAAATATCAGTGAAACAGTTTGTACGTTAAACTTCGCCCAGAGAGTTCGTCTGGTAGAACTGGGCACGGCCGGACGACAAGTAGAATCAGGGGACATTAATGAGGTGAAAAAACGTAGAAATAAACTTTGTTAAGTTTTAGGGGTCTCTTGGTTGATTTTTGAGGAGCTTTCAATCAAAATTTTCTATCCTCGTTTAGAAATTCATGGTTTTTTTTCTGATTAACTTCTAGTTTTGATTGCTAAATTTTCATTAAATGTTATTTTTGGTATTTTTTATCCTTTATGAGTTAATGGCTTCTTGTATTTTGTGCAATAAACTTTTAGAAATTAAAATTGTCTGTTTATTTTTTAAAAATTCTAAAGAAATTAGAGGCTACTTAAAACTGAAGCAAAATTTAGCAATCATCAGACCTATTGTTATATTTAGATGATTTATAAATGATAGAGCAATATTTAGGTTCAAATCGATGGATATATTCAGTTATTCATTCAGAAGGGGTGCATATAAACAACATATTATACAAGATAGAGCATTATTAGTGTGTGATGCCACCATTAAGAGAGATGAAAAGAGTCTTCATTGCATTGTCATTATTTAAGGGATTGTAAAAAGGTTTTCCAGACTATCGTAAACATGGCTTGATGGAAATTTTTAATCGTGACATCATTATCTGGCCATGAATATATAATTGCTGGAACCACAAATGTCTGACAGGAAATGGATTGGTTCAAATTGAATTTACAATCCATTTGATAATTTCAAAATACTTTCGTTCAGACTCATTAGATTAGATCAGGTATGACATGGTTATTTTTTACTTTCAGAATACCATCAGTACGCCAACTCGAAATCTTAAAATAGACTCCCCCAAATCACCGATGATAAATTCACCGAAATATATTACACCTGGTAAAACAACGAATAATAAAACACCATTATCAGCTCGCCGAGCCTTGACACCCAGATATAAACCAAAATAAACTCAAATTGGATTCTGGAATTACTCATCTTCACTATGTCAAGCTATTAGGAACTTCGCACTTCTGCCTTGACCGCAATAATCACTATTCTTGTATCACAGAATGCAGAGATTTGGTTGCAATAACCACATTTCTTGTATCACAGAATTAATTGGATTGTATCGGTCTCTGATTGGCTGTATTCACTAGAGTACAATCAAATCAAATCACTACTTTAACTAACTTCAGTGATTCAAGAAGAAAGGTAACTATTGCAGTCAAGGTATAAGAGGCAGTTTGTAATAGATTGACATTGTGAAGATGTTAATAACTGAGCTTGAATTCATGTGTATGGATGACAATTTGGTGTTCCAAATTCTTCAAATGATACAACATTTAACGAAACAAATCAACACTTTCACTGAATGAATAATTGTTTGATTTTCCACCTTTTGTTTATCAACATCTGAACCAACTGATGAGTTGTTTAAAGTTAATTTGATATTATTTTAATAATATTAATTAATATAATAAGCTTAGTTTAACGGATTGTCGAATACTTCCTTCGGATCCCACAAAGTATATAACCATTCAATGTATGTCTATTTATTCCATTGTTATCTAGTGCTAATATCTGTCCAAATTTCAATATTATATTAATGGTCCATATTTATTGACAAATTAGGCTGGTATTTAGGAGGGTAGGGTATGTCTTGGCTCAATTTTTTATTAAAATACAGATCTAGATGATTCAAATCGTGTTTTTTATATCGTCAGCAAAAATGTGAAAATAAACATCCAGATTTGCATTTTATTGGTTTGCTTAAAATTGTAAAAATATCAATTAATAGGCCTACTGATAGATGCATTCTAATCAGATTGAAAATTCCATACATTGATTTCTGTACAATTTAGCGAATGCTGCGAGAAAAGAAATTGAAATAGACACCTAGAGAACCCAAGACGCAAATACCTGTGTTCATGTTTAATATTCTAATACTATGATAGCCACTCAAAATATACCAATTTCTATTGTTTATCAATCTATAAAACTCTCTGTAGTAATTTTATTTTTATTCAGAATGAATTATCTCCTGTCTTAGAATATCACATGACTGAACTATATTTGTATATTATGTAATACTGACTGACTGAATGTATATATATTGTCTCAAGTGTGGTCTATCATTCTCTTTCATTCTCTTGTAATATTGTCTCTATATTTATAAACAGAAAATAAATTTATTAATATTTTTTGAACCAAATGTTGTGTAATAACCGTCCAGAAGGTTAACATTCCATATTTTATTCAAATAATAAAAAAAAATTACTCATGAATTATTTTTTCAACTAGGAATAAAGGGATGAATGCCATCAATTCTTAAAGATAATGAATGAAGAAGCCTGCATCAAGTTTATTGTTATCATTATCAGGGCAAAGTCTGTCTCAAATTATCAGTACCCTTTTAAAGCTTATATTCCAGTTTACTTTAATAAAATGGGCAAAATTTGAAATACCAACAACTTGCTCAGACATTAATTTTTGTTGGAACAAACTGTAATGAAAGAACATGGTGATACTGATCAGGAATCCGGGATAGATTATATCTTTGGGGGAAGCTAAAGGAACAGGTTTGCCATCTGTTTGTAGCGTAGAGTCAGAAATAGGAATAATTAGCTAAGCTGATCAGTAATAGTGTTCACAGCTCAACGTCGAAATTTTTGCCTTCAAATCCACGTGTGATCAGAATTATCCACAATGAAAGTTAAAAAGACCACTGGTCTTTTCTTGATACTCTGTGATATGTAGAAAAGACGTATAGAAATAGAAAGTGAAAACCCAAATCAACCCCTGCAAAATTCTGAACCCTTAAAGGATGCAGTCTGTACCCTACAGACTGTAGTGAAATGGATCATCTTGGTGAATAGAAACAAAAACATCTACATTGGGCAAGATAAAAGAGTTTTAAGTCGTTATATTAATTAACTGTTGTCTGCCACAAAGCATATTTGAGTCACCTCCCATTACATATATTTATGACTAATTATTTAAAAAATTGACAACCATTTTAAAGATTTATTATGAATTGGTAATTGATATTTACATCACACAATCACACAGTATCATACTGGAGAGAAACCGAAAGAATCGAGATGAAAATATCTCACAATTTTGGGCTCTGTGAAAACGGAGTGATACAAATATAACAATAGTCACCTAATCGCCCCAATGCACACAATATTTTAATCAGACAATTTACTTTCCAAACAGACGAACGAAAGAAGCAGAATATGGAACTACTGAACACGATAATGTGCCAAGGGACGTAACCCAAAATTTAAGAAATTCGCTAAAAATGTATTCAAGTAGAACATGAAAGTTAGCAAATATTTGCACGATTCGGTTTTCACTTAAACTTTTACTAAGTAGCGAAATTGTACATTCCAAGGAAATTATTGCTATGTTAAGCGATTCACAATGAATGTTGCATTATTTCAAATCCGTGTCCAGTTTTAGACACGACTTTCATTCAAGTAGAGTTAACTCCCTTCCCAACATGGAGCCGGTAAAACGTAAAACTGTCTAAAAGCTGTATATTTTGACTGTAAATGATGATTTTCAGTTGATTCTGTGCTCGATTTTTCTCCTGCGCCTGTTTTTTACATCAGGGAATTATTCTGCAGGATATTGATGAGTGGTGTCGATCGAAATTCACCAGTTCCGACTGAAAATATTGATCAACAAAATGGGACGATCACGTCACAAAAACAAACTTTTTCAGAAAATTCTTCGGAATTGGAAACATCCAACAAGGAACCAAGGACTCCTGAAAGCGAAGAAATCGTAGACAACAAACCGCATGATGTCAAGAAGTCCAAATCACCAAAACCATTGTCGCCTGGTAAATTTAAAACAGAATTAACTTCCCATCTCTTCCCGCCAACTTCACAGTCCAAATTCAAATTGAAACAGATGTATCTCCTCTTGTCAATGACTTTAGACACTAATGTCTTTTTTATATGTCTGGTATTTAAAATCATAAAACTGGGTTAAGCCTTGGATGGTCCCCTATGTAACACACCCCTATCTGACTGATATTAAGGAACTAGAGAGTACCAGTAGGTGCCAAATAGCTTGAGAATCTTTCTACATTCTAAATTCACTGTTTGTTATTTCTGAAATGTTTTCAGCAAGTGTGGCGAAGAAAAAGAAAATATTACGTGCCCTGAAAGATGATTGTGATGTGTCAGTTTTACGTCAGTTAGCCATCAATAGAGGGGGCATGTTAACCAATGAACTAAGAAGATCGGCGTGGCCTAAGCAACTTGGAGTTGATTTAGACAACATCTCTCCTAAACCAGGTAGGCAGGGAATGGAGGAATATCAAGGCTTTTTAAAATGTTTTCATGAACTAGGCCCTAGGGTTATTGTACCCAAATGTTGCTGTAAAGACACAGGAAAGAGGTGACAGTGAAATAGCTCAGTAGACTGCTAGGTTATTAGGCGCTGTGGGTTAGAATCTTCTTCAAAACAAGAAAGATATTGATTCCATTTCCAGTGCTTGTGAGAGTCGGTCCGGTGTCAGCTTTCAACCCCTATCCTATAAAAAAGTATGTTTCATGTTTATTTGTGATGCAGGCTAAAGAATGAAACTTCAAAACAAAATATATTTGATTGCTGTACTTTTGAATAGATTGATTTAAAACTTTTTGAGACATTCCCAAGTGCTGAAGTAAAATTTGATGTGATTTTATTTTATGTAATTGTAGATGAAGAAACTTTAAAGAACCATAGAGATTATACTCAAGTTGTGATGGATGTAAACCGGTCTTTAAAACGATTTCCACCAGGTATAAATCTCTTTTTTTTTTCATGTCATATTCATCTTTAAAATGCTATTTACTTTTGTTTTTTGTCCTTTCATGTACTTGCCATATATGACTGCATGCAATCTAGTAAAGTGCAGAAAAGTACGATATAAAACTCTATATACAGGTACTTGTCAATTCACAACCCTCGTAAATTAATATCGTTACTTGCCGCCTTTGTCTCCTATAATCTAGAGTTTATAAACATGTTTTTATTATTGTTAAAGGAATGGAAGATGAAGAGAGATATGCTCTACAAGATGTTTTAATATCAGTTATTATGAGAGTTTTAGTCAACAATTCACAATTACATTATTATCAGGTATTTACTCCTATAAATAAAGTCCTCTTGTCTCTGCTAATACTCAGGATTCAGGATTCAATCCCAGAATTTGCCTTCAGATTTCCCAACTCAGTTTTCCCTTGTCAGTGATACAGGAAAAGGAAAATGCACCTAGTTATTCTTCTAAACAAGTAGGCTAATGCTACCATCAAAGTTTCCCTGAATGCACATTGTATGGCACTGTCTTCATTAGCCCTATCTCACACAGTTCATCCTCTTGCCATAGATTCACCAAACACTAATAATATTTTATCATGGTGTATATTCCAGGGTTTTCACGATATCTGTGTAACATTCCTATTGGTGGTAGAGGAGGATGTTGCCTTTGCTTTGGTTGAAAAATTGACGCAGAATCACTTAAGGTGGGTATTTATTGAGCTGCAAATTGAAAAGGTTTCAGAGGCAGGATCGAAATTTGAAGAAGGAAATAGAATGCCACCAAATTTTCATTGGAAAGAAATGTATGGATGAGATCTTTCAATGGTTCAAATATCTTTTAAAATTATCTTTGATAATCTAATTAATAAATATTCTAGAAGTATTCATCCATAATAATTGTCCTATTTTTAATCTTGTTTATTACAGAGATTTTATGGACAGTGATATGGAACGGACCAAAAATATGTTAAACTATTTATATCCTATAATCAACAAAGCTAGTCCGAATTTAGGTGAATTTATGGAAAGGTACTGTGTAATGTGTTTCATATATTAATTTGTAATCTTGCATAAAACATTTTTAAAAAAATAATGCAGAATTGCCTGACATGCGCCTAGATTTTTTTGGGTCTAAGATTGTTTATACAGCTTATGTAGGTTTTTTAGGTTATGATTGAAATATGATTATTATGTCAGACTTATTATACACCTATTAAAGTAAATATTTTGATGAGAGATATCTGAAATGATATTTTTACTATATCTCTATAATGTTATGATTACAGGGCTGAACTAGGTACTATATTTTGTTTAAGTTGGTTAATAACGTGGTATGGTCACGTATTAAATGATATAAAACATATCGTACGATTATATGATTTCTTCATCGCCTGTCATCCACTCATGCCAATTTATTTAGCTGCTGCAGTAAGTTTACTTTCTCTAAAAGATATTCAGAGAGTCTTTGTGCTACAGGCTGTGTATGGTCAAGATCCTTTGACAGCTGGAATAGACAAACAGCAAAACGTTGTACTCCATTTCAAAGAGTAAACAAGTGCTGTTTCCTGGATAAAATTTCTCATTAGTCCAATAAGATACAGAACTGTAGGATATAAAACACTATTTCATTTCATTAGTCCAATAAGATACAGAACAGTAGGATATAAAACTCTATTTCATTTCATTAGTCCAATAAGATACAGAACTGTAAGATATAAAACTATATTGTATTTCAGATAGTGTTATAAGATACAGAACTGTAGGATATAAAACTCTATTTCATTTCATTAGTCCAATAAGATACAGAACAGTAGGATATAAAACTCTATTTCATTTCATTAGTCCAATAAGATACAGAACTGTAAGATATAAAACTATATTGTATTTCAGATAGTGTTATAAGATACAGAACTGTAGGATATAAAACTCTATTTCATTTCATTAGTCCAATAAGATACAGAACAGTAGGATATAAAACTCTATTTCATTTCATTAGTCCAATAAGATACAGAACAGTAGGATATTGTATTTCAGATAGTGTTATATAGACAAGATGAGATATTAAGTTGTGAATGTGAGATGTGTTTTATTCATAGTCTGTTGTCTCGGATTCCTGAGAATTTACCATTTGAGGAACTGATTACTCAGGCTGGGGATCTCTTCCTGCAGTTTCCTCCCAAAGATTTGTCTGATGAGGCCAAACGCATCAGGTATGATCATCTTCACAATAATGTCAAGCTCTTACACATTTCTTACTTATACCTTGACTGCAATAGCCACCTTTCTTGCATCACAGAATGCAACAATTTGATAGGATGTTACGCTAGCAAATACAGCCAATTAGAGCCCCTTGACAGAAAGACTGTATGCCTAATGGCTTATTGTTTACAGACTATATGTCGAGGGCTCTGAATGGCTATGTTTACTAGTATACAATCCAAACAAATCGCTCCATTTTAAAAACTAACTGGCCTGATGAGGAATTTATATCAGAATCATGTCAACAACGCAAGATGAGTTTGAGTCAATTTACCATCTAACCTCTCAAAGAAGGAGTTTATTGAATCAATGAAACAAAAGTTGCTTACCCATTGAAGATTGAAGCTTCATCTACTTGTTTTTTATTTTGTCTTTCTAGTGAGGAGAATGCCCAGAAATCCAAGAGACCACCTGTTAGAACTGTATCTAATGTACAAAGACTTAAAAATAATATGAAATGGGTGTCGGCCGTGATGCCGGATGTGGGCAGACGCTATTTACTGACTACTGCCGTGGCTGCTGCCATCACCGCTGCCCTTTGTTACTCTACAACAGACTGGGGCTGGATTGAATTTAACTGGTTTTGAATTCTTAATTTGGTTTTCAAAAACTACATTTATATTGGTTGGAATTATGTTGATTAGAACTAAACTGGTTTTAGTTGGAATTTAACTTGGTCTGATTGACCTTAACTGGTTTGGTTGAAACAAAACTGGTTTTGGTTGTTACCTAATCTGGTTTCAATGATCCAAATCTGGTTTTAGTTGGAACTATATTTGGTTTGATAGAAACAAGAATCATAAGGTGTAAATTAATATAACAGGTTAACAATATTTAATTTTCAGGCCAACTTCTAGTCACAATCATCAGCTATATAAGAATTATTATTCATACTAGAACATGGACTGTCGAGGTATTTTTACACGGGCTGAGTTCCCTCACTTAAAATAAAATATCAAATCTATATTTAAACATGGTGCTGGTATTTCTTCTTATTATATAGGACTGTAGTTGGGCATTCTACACAATGTCAATATTACCAACTTCAGACTTATACCTTGACTACAATAGCCACCTTTCTTGTATCTGTAATGCTATCTACACAATGTCAAGCTATTTCGTATTTATACCTTTCATGTACCATTGAGGTTTGTAAATGAAGTGATTTGATTGGATTGTACACAAGCAAATACAGCCAATCAGTGGCCTTGACAGAAAGTCTGTGAACACAAAGCTATAATGTCTATAGCCTTTCTGCCGAGGGTTGGGATTGGCTGTATTTGCTGGTGTACCATCCAATCCAATAGTTGCATTCTGTCGTAGAAGAATACAAGGTATAAGTATGAAGTTGGTAATAGTTCGAGATGTTGTTGGGTCGTTCTCTAGAAGAAGATGTAGATTGACATGTATATGAAATAGTTCACATTACGACTCATTCCAATACATTGATCTCCAACTCGAGAACGATTCTATTTGTTATAGTTGGTGCTGGTAGCTAGACTGGTGTAAGAATTAAAACTCTTTTCATTTTTCCTATTATTCTAGAAAAGCTCACTTTGACTTCAGTTCTACTGTATTAACAATACAAAATCTGTTTGTTGTCACAAGTTATAAGTATTACACCCAAATTGTCTTCCCTCAGAGCTTTATTCATACTGTTGGTTGATCAAACACAATTTCTCTAGTTTTAATAGGAGTTCTATGGTTTTCTTTATTCAAGAGACAGCTTGTTATGGTTGGTGCTCGATTGGAAATTTCTGAACAAGTTCCATCAGATTCAATTCGAAAACCTTAAGAAGCGGAATATGTCCCTTTCAAAATTTTCCATCTATTTCTTTCTCTGCCATTTTGAATTTTGTCTGCACCTACTATTTTTCAACTTGTTTTGTTGAATATGATGTTGATTCAATGAATCCCGAACATCCAGAACTCACCAATCAAGCAACCCTATATATAATAATAGGGAGAGTGTGTGGTCAGTCCAATTATAAATATCCCAGATATTGTCCATGTACACTTAGTATCACACTTATTTCAATTTAGTTTTTTTTTTATATTGTTTATCTACAATAGACAAACAATGTAACAAACAATGTAACAATGTAACAAACAATGTAACAATGTAACAAACAATGTAACAATGTAACAAACAATGTAACAAACAATATCAGAAAGATAGGAACAAATAACATGTCAATCATGAATTCAGACTTCAGATAATAAGATTGTAGTGTTACATTTTGAGAACTCTCTGTTTATGTTGAGAAAGATAACATATTGAATTAAGCTGCACCCAAATTTACATTTCATCTTAGTCTAATATTTAAATTTGCATTTTTAAAATTCTACTAATTATTTAGAATGATAGGTTTGGAGTATCAGAAGTAACGTCGCGTTTTTATATTTCACCATTTTGTTTGTTGGTTTGAGATTAATTATATATGTGATTTTTATTGTCTGTTCTCTTTTCTAACCAGTTGAAATCAACACAACTAACAGCATGGTCAATATTCATGGTCAAGGGCAACAACTCTGTTTGGTATACTACAGTTGGGTTTTATTGTACAAAATGTTTCAACAATTTGAGCCTTTATATCTATGTGTGTCAAAGGTTATCCTCGTTTTAATGTTAAAATGAAAACTCGTCTTTTCTTGAGACTTATAGCCTTATAGAAAAGACACATATAGAAATAGAAAGTGAAATTCCTAGTTTGAGGAATTTTGCGATTTTCATACATTACTAGTTCTTCTTGTACATAATATCCTATTGAAGAAAATGGCGGTTGTTCCCCTTTAAACTCGATATACATATATTACAATGTAAAAAAGGAGTTGCAAATTAAACATTTTAAATATAAAATACTGACACTGTCTGACTATATCAAATTAGTATAAATATAAAATACTGACACTGTCTGACTATATCAAATTAGTATATATATAAAATACTGACACTGTCTGACTATATCAAATTAGTATAAATATAAAATACTGACACTGTCTGACTATATCAAATTAGTATATATATAAAATACTGACACTGTCTGACTATATCAAATTAGTATATATATAAAATACTGACACTGTCTGACTATATCAAATTAGTATAAATATAAAATACTGACACTGTCTGACTATATCAAATTAGTATATATATAAAATACTGACACTGTCTGACTATATCAAATTAGTATAAATATAAAATACTGACACTGTCTGACTATATCAAATTAGTATATATATAAAATACTGACACTGTCTGACTATATCAAATTAGTATAAATATAAAATACTGACACTGTCTGACTATATCAAATTAGTATATATATAAAATACTGACACTGTCTGACTATATCAAATTAGTATAAATATAAAATACTGACACTGTCTGACTATATCAAATTAGTATATATATAAAATACTGACACTGTCTGACTATATCAAATTAGTATAAATATATAATACTGACACTGTCTGACTATATCAAATTAGTATATATATAAAATACTGACACTGTCTGACAATATCAAATTAGTATCTTATTTTATTAAAATTTAACATTTCTACATAATTGACATAATATATAACATTAATTTCTCTTCAGGTCTTCAGACTTCGTAAATATGATGGGGTACTGAAATAAAAGTAGAGAGCTTGTTAGGCAAGATAATACACCAGGTTAATAATCATTCACTAAGCTGTGAAATGAAAGGGCCCTATTTTTCTGTCCCTGCTTGGGCTAATGACGACAACTTGCACTAAAAGCAATATTTCTCAGGATAGTGTTCACGTGTTCAATTTGCCTCAATGAATTGTACAAGTACCGTTTCTCTTTGTAGTTTTTCCAGTTTTCTTATATTTTTTTAGATGTGTGTTATTAGGGGGGTTGGGATATGTGAATCGCTGGATCTCTACTAAAACAAGAGAAATGAAATGAATTGAATGGAGTTTTACGTCCTACTTTTCTGCACCCAATTCGGCTAATGAAGACGGGCAATGAGGGAAATTATTAAAAAAATGAAAAAAAAAAAAAAAAAAAAAAAAAAGAACGACAATAGTCTTTTTTAGATTTTCAACTGCCTAGGGATCCATACGGTGTATAGTCTATAGCGCACAGGTCCTCGGTTTATTGTCCCATCCGAACGACTAAACGCTATATCCGGGAAACCGGGTTGAAAAATCCCAAGGTATTGTCTCGAACTATGCCGGGATTCAACCCTGTACCGTCAAGTTAGTGAGCGAGCATCTAACTCGCCGAGTCACCGCGGTTCCTAAAACAAGAGGAAACATCATATATCATATGAATATAAAACATGAGATAATAAGATAGTTCTTACTGCGCTAATTGGTGTCTGTACTGTATCATATCCCTGAAATAACAAGATAATTCTAGAAAAGCCGATATAATCAATGGTCTATTGAAATTGCCCCTTTAAAAATTCATACTTCGTATTCCATCAAAAAAGTGACCACCCACCACCCTTTTAACATAAAATTAAAATATTACCTTGTAAACAGAATCTGTAAGAGAAGAAGATAAAGTTTATAATGATTATTTTGAATATTTGAAAGTCAATCAAGCCACACCCACTTTTTAACCAGGACACCGATATTCAATCAAAATTTCAGATCAGTAAAATGAAATGAATGGAGTTTTACGTTCTACTCTTCCGCACCCAATTTGGCTTATGAAGACGATTTTATATCAGAAGAGAAATACCAGGCACGTTAATATAGCCTACGTCGACTGGCAGCTTTGATTTTAAATAAACATATTTGGAAGTACAGTCACAATCACCAGTATGAAATATTCAACCTTTAGTCATATACTTCTTTCAGAACCGTTTCCAATAAGGATCTTCCTGAAATTTCGACCAAACCTTTCACAAATTTTGTCTTCTTAAGTGTACACAAGCTAGAAATTAACGCTTTTCGAAGAACAAAAACTCATAAATTATTTTTCGATA